CACGGTTGTGACAGCCCAGCCGCCCACAGGAAGAGCTGTATCGCTGGGATCCGGCACAGGCACAGGGTCCTGGAGCCACTGCTCATCATCCCTGCTGTGTCCCAGCACCTGGGCTGTGGCTCTTCAGTAGATTAGGTTATGAGCATGGAAGCTGAAGCTATCCACACTGCCAGTGAATTCTGAGTTTGGCACAGTTGCCAGTAAACAATTACATTTTTACTTTTTGACTCAATTCTTACACTCTGAAGACTACCATCTCTGCAAAATCCTACCAGTTTTCAAGTTTTTATTGGGGTGTTTATAAACTTTTTAGCTGAACAACATACATACAAAGCATGAAAGTGTATTTTTGTATATTTCTATAGTTGGACATCTACAGCCTCTCAAAAAAGGTATATTGAGGTCTTTGCATAGCATTGGCCTTGCCCTTTGGCTTGGGATACACTGGGTCATGCTCAGCCTGGGCTGATGTTATTGTCCAAGCTCTGTTGGAATACCTGCATGTGGACTGCTGTTTCTGAGGGTAGAGGCCCCAAGGGCCCCTCCCTGGAGCTGTAAAGTTACTGGACTGTCCACCTCCCCACTCCCACATCTCCAAAAAGTACATTAATGTGTAAAATGTGTTTGTATGAAAACTGGGCAAGTATACTAGGTTGTAAGGAAATCCAGTTTCTTTACATGTGACTGTGTCATTGTGGTTCGTGCCTTCAGTCAAGTCAGGCCAGACTGGGCTACAGAGATTATGTTTCTAAAAACCAAGGATGGGGTGGGTGTCAAGTAATGTGATTCTTTGAGCTCACTAGAAGCAACCAACACAATGTCTCATTTTAGCTCTATAGCAAAGTAACAAAGACTTCAGATTTTTTTTTATGTGGAACCATCCTCTACTTGGTTTTTGAGACAAGGCCTTTTCTGAAACTCAATAGGTTAAGCTGGATGGCCATTGTTTCAAATATGTGCATTCAGGCCAGATTTTTTTTTTTTTGGTACTTGTGGGCTCTAGGGATGAGCTCTAGGTTCTAGGCCTGCCTGACCAAGCACTTCTTCCCAGCCCCTGGCTTGCAAATTTCAGTGCCTAACAGTGGCTTTGGCACAGTGCTGCCTACCTCCACTACAATTAACAAGGGAACTCCTGCTAGCCTGTCCTTGCTCTTACCTTGCCCTGGCTAACTAAAAAAGCTAAAGTGAAAAGGTCAAGGCTCATGCTGACAAGTCTGAGGTGCCCAGCAGTAAGGTGTGGCGTATCAGCTTCATGCAGCATCTCCTTTAAACTGCAAGTGAATGGATGCCAATGCCACTTAGGACTTGACACAAAGATAGGTCACCACCTTGGTCCAGTGTTTCTCTGATCACCTCACCTCATCCTGACTGCTGTAAGCGTATTCAAACTGGGTGTGGTGGATGCCTGTGATCGCAGGGATGTGGCAGCAAGAAAATCAGAAACCAAAAAGCCAGTAGATGAAAACCAATGAGCTAAATCCATACTTAACATCAAAATGCTGGGTTTTTTACCTTTTCAGTTTTTCAAGACAGGGTTTCTCTGTGTAGCCCTGGCTGTCCTGGAACTCTGATTCAATTTTATTTAGTTACTTGAGTTCCCAAACCAGTAATTAAACTGTAGTAAAATCTTAAGCAATCTTCAAATACAGTACATTGGGTTAACTTACATCCTCTGTTCTCTCAACAGGTTCTGGATAAAAGCAGTCTGCAAATCCCAAATGAGTAACCCCACCAATTTCAAAGTAACTTGCTTGAACTCAGTGCAGAAGAACAGGTCATCTCATTAACACAAAAGGCAAATAAAGAGGCTTGATTGGTAGGAACCTAATCAGTATCGGGTTCAGTGACCTAGGCTTCTTTCAGTTTGAGGGATGTTAAGAGGCAGGGAGATGATACTATTCCTCTAAACCTCAGTTATGTTTAATGAGTTCTGAATTGTCATAAAGCAATTTCTAGTACATCCTATGAGTACATCCCACAGGTACAAAGAGTAAGGCTATCCTTAAGTGACCTTTGCTCTTGGCTACTATGAGTTCCAAATCTTTGGGAAGTCCACATCTGGGCAGAGGTGCAGTACTCTTTAATATGCTTTACTGAATCTGGCAGAGGTCTTTGGTTTTTCTACACAGGGTCTCTGTGTAGCTCTGGCTGCCTTCCAAAAGCTGGAATTAAAGGTGTGTGTTACCACTTCCTGGCTGAGTCTGGGTTTTAACTATGTCCTACATGTTACTCCATATCAGTTATTCCCTTTTCTGCAGTAAACTACACTTCCCTTTTAAAGTCGGCCATTCCAAAGTCAACACTGTCTGCACAGATGATCAGCATTATCCCCCTCAGGGTCTCTAGAGGTAAGGGTTCCAGTACACATATAGCCATCTGCGTATATGATCTGACTCAGGATAGGTCTGGATATTAATCCATTTTAATTAAGAAATTCTGGTCCTCTGCCCCCAAAAGAGTTTAATCTCCAGGATTTGAAGAAAAATACTTTCCAAAAGAAATAATACAAAGGGAAGGAAGGAAAGGGAGGGAGGGTACTGTTCTAAAAGAGCATATAACCACTTGACAATCTGTCAGGTTATTTCCTTTGAACCTGACATTGAGTGTAGAGTTCTTACAGCAGCTATTATTATCAGATACACAAGCAAAATACGCACACACACACACTGTTTTAAGACCATTGGGGTCTTGGTCAATGAGGTGGCCCTTAACCATTGAAGTCTACATTAAGGGACTAGAGAGAGGACTTAACCCCTAAGAGTGCTTGCTGCTCTTGCAGAAGACTAAGTTCCCAGCACTGCTTGGGCTGTGGCTCTTGTACTTCAGTAGGCACCTGCAGATTTGCATACAGGAAATAATCTTAAGATTACCCGTTCCAGGAGAGTCCTATCTCCATTTGTTTTATTGGTGCCATAGTTTCTCTAGTTCCTGTACAAGTTGATCAGATACACTGGGTCGTCACATCACTGGGGAACTAAACATGGTCTCAAACATACCAGGCATGTCACACCGGATGAACTCCATCTCTAGAGCCTTCAGCCTCATGAAGTCTGCTGCTTTTAATATGGCTGCTTACAATGTGAGTTTTAACCACAATATTTCTATCTTCTATTGTTTAAAAATGTTGTGAATATGAATTGAGTTAAAAGTTAATCTTTCCCATACAAGCATATGAAAGCCAGGCATAGTGTCACACAGCTGTAATTGTGGCACTCAAGATACTGGACAAGTCACTTGCCCTTCAAAGGCAGTATGATATACGTAGTGGCAATGTCTAAATAACTGTAAAATGAGACAAGTAAAAACAAGGGCTCCCAGCGGTGGTGGCACACACCTTTAGAGTTCCGGCACTCAAGAGGCAGAAGCAGGTGCATCTCTGAGTTCAAGGGCAGCCTGGTCTACAGAGCTAGTTCCAGGACAGGGTCCAAAAATGTAGAGAAATACTATCTCGAAAAACAAAAACAAACAAAACAAAAACAAATCCCCCCCCCCCCAAATACAAGTGGCAAACCCACTTAATTTATTGTCATTTAGGACTATGGTACTAGAATAGTGTGAGCTTGTAGTAAAAAGGGAGTCTACTTTGGCACTTACTAACACTGGCAATGAAAGACTGATGAGAGACACAAGCAGAGACAGCGGACGCATCCTCATTTGGGGGCTCTTAATTTTCCTTCAGAGTTCATGGCACTTCTTGGCTCAGTGAGGGTTTGCTGAAGAAAGGTGAAAAATGTTTGAGCTACACATGGGAAGTGGATTGGAAAGTCATGTCAAGGGTTTTCTTTGGCTGGCTTTAAACCAATGCTCAAGGCCTAGATGGGAAGAGGCATTCCACATTGTGGCATACCACAAATGTCAGCAAGGGCATTGACACCCTCAAGGACAGATTGAGTTGGAACCAATGGGCAGAGTTGATAGACTTTCTGGCAGCCAGCTTCTATTTTGCCCACTGTTCTTTACCAAAATGACTTTGTAGGTAATTAATCAGCTGACACCCCACCCCCCAACACAACTCTGATGATGCCTTAAGACCCTGTTTTCTGGGTGAATTAGTTAACCCCAACATTTGTGAAGACAAGACTGGGCTCCAGCCTGGGAAGAGATGGTAAATGTAGATGGGAATACAAGATAAAGGTTCACAGCCATCAAGGAGCCAGGGAGGAGGGAGCTGTCCCTCATCTATGCAGAACTCGGGCTTTAGTCACCTGGGAGGGATGTATGAGTTAGTGTTTACTCGTGAACTCAGAGTGAAAACTCATCTATGCAGAACTCGGGCTTTAGTCACCTGGGAGGGATGTATGAGTTAGTGTTGGAAGTACTCGTGAACTCAGAGTGAAAACTCATCTATGCAGAACTCGGGCTTTAGTCACCTGGGAGGGATGTATGAGTTAGTGTTGGAAGTACTCGTGAACTCAGAGTGAAAACCTCAAACTTCTAACTGGTTTCCATTAAAATCATTTATAAGAGACATTAACATAAGGTTGACCAAGCTGATCAGTAGCAACAGTGTCAAGACATTTCATATTTTTTTCTCATCACTAGCCCCCTAGAACACTTTAAATATCAACTTATAAAGTGCCCTCGTAGACCAAATTTTCTTTTTTGGGGGTGGTGGTGGAGGAGCCCATGTACTCAGGCAAGAGCTGTACCATTCATATATAATAAAACATTCTTGGGTATTCTAGTTAGAAGGTGGCAAAGGCTGGGACTGGAGAGGGAGCTCCCTTCATAAAGTACTTGCCATGTCAGTGTAAGGACTGTAGTTCAGACCCTCAAGTGTCTATGTAAAAAGCCAGGTGGGTCCCCAGGGCTGGCCAACCAGTCTAATGAACCAGCAATCTCCAGGCTCAGTGAGAGGTTCTGTCTGAAGAAATAAACCTACATAAACAACTAGAGAAAACACCACACCACTGACCTCTGGCCTTCACGGGGTCATGTATATACATACAAAAAATAGAGACTATTCAATTTTAAAAATAAAAGCACACACTTAATCACTGTTTATTTAATCATTTTACCAGTTATGCAGCTTAAAACTGGTAACTTGCTTCTGATAATTAGTTCTAAGATAGTTATTCACATTAAGTACTTCCCAAACTGGGATACAATCAATTCAACAGCAATTGTGTACCTGCACGAAAACCATTTTAAATTCTTATCTCTAGGCCACAGTATCAGCTAGCACATCACAGAGCAGGCGGGCAGCAAAGTCCAACGAGCTCTAACATGATGATTAGTGAAAATGGAAGTCTGCAGACACTGCACTGTGTGGGATTTATTCTCCAAGAGCCACTGACCACACACTGGAGATGGTGGGTTAAACCAGTCCTGCAGCACTGAGCTAGCACTGCAAACCCAGCCCAGTATCTGCTTATCCCTGCACCTCGGCATCCCAGCAGCTATGTGGGCCACCGCTCACTTTCCTCTGTCTTCACCGATGTCACTGTCACTGCTGCTGTCTTCATCGCTACTGCTGTTTGATACAGTGAGCTTACCCAGGGTTTCCAGGGTTTCTCTGTAAGGAAAAGAAATAGTAACCTTCAGCTCATAGGGCTGGGAGTGTTTGGCATCTCTGACATATACAGACACAGCAGTTTTGAAAGAAGAAACAGGGATCCGAAATCTGCACTGAACTACTCAAGAACAAAGGAAAGGTTCCAACAGTTCCAAACTCGTATGACAGAAGAAACCGCCATCACGTCATCACCCCTGAATTTACAAGCAAATGATAACACATGGGAGAAAGCTATAATCTCCCAAAGAGGAGATGGAGACTTACTTTTGTTCTGGGTTGACTGTGAAATCCATCATTACTCTTTGGGCAAGGGTCTCACAAACAGGTAAGCTGAAGGCACTTGCCAGCTTCACAACCTCAATGGCTGAGTCAGGGCTGTCAGATGCTTTTGCAGTGTCCATAAACTCCTCCAGCAGTTTATCTCTGTAAAAGAAAGCAAACACAACAGTCCAAACTCACCTTTTTTCTACGAAAGATGTACTGTACATATACAAGTATTTCCCTCCATGTATGTAGGCGTACCATTGTGTAATGCCTGTGTTTGCCAGGTGCCAGACCTCCTGGAATTCAAGTTGAAAATGGTTTAGAGTGTTCATGTGGGGTCTGAGAAAGCAAGCAAAGTGTTCTTAACCACTGAGCACTTCTCCAGTGACCCCAATTTACTTTCCTAACTTTTAGTCAAATATTTATTTACAGGCAAAGTTCAGAATAAGTTTATTAGTCAAATCCTCATTAAATTTGGACAAAAGTTACAGGCTAACATTCTGTAGATCCCCAAGATATGATCACTGACCGAGTAGAGAAAACTTCCTCAAGAAAGAACTTGCCCCTGACGATAGGAGACGAACTGCCTGTCTTAGCAAAGAGCCCTCAAATGCAGTGGCTGGGGCTTGTGGAAAAAATGCAATCATTTACCCATGAGTCCAAGCCCACGTGAGTAATTCAAGCCTGTACCAGGTGAGGCCTCTTCCTGTCAACTTACCCGGGGATCTTATTATGCTTCTTGAAAAGTGCCAACATTTTCCTGTGAAAGAAGAGAAAGATGGCTGCTGACAGAAAGTAAGTGCCAACCAAAGCTGACCTCTGCACAGACTTAGAAACTAAGTGACTTAAAGAGAAGTCAGACTCCTTGAATTCCTGTGGACTCAAGTAGTTCCCAATTCTGGCTACATGAATTCAACAGGTAAATCTGAGATGTGGCCAGTGATGAGAACTGCTGGTTGTACCCAGGGCAGAAGGGAGTCCATCCTACACCCTGTGAGAAGAGCCTAGCCGACTCCCATCTTAAATTCTCAGTCAGTCTGCCACAGAGCTCCAATATGAAGAACAGGCTCAGATTAAGGCAACAGTCTCATATATGTGAATACCATCTGTCTGCCACATGCAAGACAATGGCAAAACACATACATTCAGCTCCCATGACTCAGCTGAGGTCCGTACCCCTGCGCCAATCATCACAGCCTGCTTCTGCGTCCCAACCTGCCTGATCATGCAAACAAACCTGCCTGATCATGCAAACATGTTTGTTTGTTTGTTTTTAATGACAACACAATGCTAAACAGGTCACATTTAAGTGAGTTACGGCCCCAAAACAAGATTGTACAAAAAAAGATGGTTGGAACAACAGGCACATTTAGACTAGCAAGAGATACCCTACACATTTATGTTCAACAAGAGGGGAGGGGAGAGCAGAGATGAGGAGAGGGAAAGAGAATGGAAACATGAGTATGCCTAAGGCCTCCTTTTATAAATAACTATAATCAATTTATTACTGAAATGCTGGGAAAACATACAGAAGTAGAACAGTGGCACAAACAATTCTTGATAAGGCCATGTTTCAAAAACATGCCAGTTGCCAGAAGTCTAAGGTACCCAGGCCAAAGTTAAGGGATGGAGAAGAAAGGAGCACTTGCAAATAACTGCTACTTAATCACAGGAGCATTTTCTTTTTTGTTCTGGTTTTTTGAGACAGTAGCTTTGGAGGCTGTCCTACAACTTGCTCTGTAGACCAGGCTAGTCCCAAACTCATAGAGATCTGCCTGTCTCTGCCTCCCAAGGGCTGGGATTAAAGGCATGCACCATCACAAACGGCTTTAAAAAAGCATCTTCAAACGTATGCTTCTCTCAGAACCATTTATAGTGGCAAAGAATGAGGTTGAGTTTCTTGCCCAGTAAGACACAGAAAACCAAAAGGTATCAAATGAGACTCCTCAGCTTCCTTGAACAATATCCTCTTCTCAAATGCATCATACATACTGACCTTACTAAAGTTCCCTTTTTAGCTGGCATTTACAAGTGCCTACCAAAACCTAACTGTATATCCATTCAGGTTAGTTCCAGATAAACTACCTGTCACTAAGTCGAATTAAAGAACAATCATCTATCAACCAGTCAAGGTTTCAGCTCTAAGAATAAATGTTAGTATTTACATTTGACAACTTATACTCACCATGCTTCCTGGGTTCTGCCACCTCTTAAAAAAAGGACAGCTATACACTGTAGAGTGTTGGCTGGCCAATCATGAGCAGTCTGCCAGGCATCTTGGCTTTCATATGTGGACTTGATATCAGCAGCACAGTCAGCAAATGCCACCTGAAGCTGAGAGGCTCTAAGAGTCAGCAGAACTGTCTAGCTGGTCTGACAAGAATTTAAAATCAAGAGACTATCACATGAATGGCAAACAAGAAATACAGTAAAATGAAGCCTGAACCTGTCTTGGGATAGTGCAATTAACTACATTTCTGAATTCCCTTTAAAAGGTTTCATATTAATTTCTTTTGATTGTGTATACATGTGCACATAAGGGCGTGGAGGTCATGTGTAGAGGTCAGAGGACAACTAGTGGAAGTCGTTCTTTCCTCCTTCCATGTATGTTACAGGGAAAGAACTTAGCCATCTCACATCTTTTCAGGTAGCAATTAAAAAACAAAAAAAACAGAACTTACCCTAACAAAGCCACTGTTATTTGCGTGTATGGGTGTTAGCCTGCATGTGTAGATGTGTGTCTGGTGCCTGAGAGACCAGAAGAGGATATCGTATTCCTTGGCACTAGAGTCAGACAGTTGTGAGTTCTGGAAACTTAACCAGAACACTCTGATAGAAGAGCACCTAATTTTTATTATTTTTGATTATATGGAGAGGAGGGAAAGGAGTATATGCACTTGTGTGTAGGTGTTTGTGAGATCCTGATATGGGTACAGGGAATAACAAGTGTTTTTCACTGAATCAACTCTTTAGCCCATGGAATAATAATTATTCAAATAATCTGGCACATACTGTCATTGACTATTTTGCTACTGTCTGCTTTGGACTAGAGGAATGAGGCTAACATTAAGATTGGTGTTTTGCAAATAAATGTTAATACATGTTTACCCTAGATCTAGAATTACACATCCAAAGATCCCACAGAGGATGGATAAAACCAAGGAAGCCACCCTTGAAAGGGCATTAAGTATTAGCAAATACATAGGTCAGTGCACATCTAATGACGATGATAGAATCGATTTTCAAGATAACCCTACCTCTGCTGGGTGTTTATCCCTGGCCATGAGCATCAAGATTTCTTCTCTTAGGTTAGCTCGGAAAGTATGGCCATATTCTTTACTATCTTAAAGCAAAAGAAAGTAACACTCATCACCACAATGCAAAGCATTTAGTGAATCTTTATCCACTACTGACTTTAGTCTTCTGGCGGGTAAGAAAAGTTGGCACAACTTTTATTCCAGCACTCTGGGAAGCAGAGGATCTCTGAGAATTTAAGACCAGCCTGTTCTACAAAGTGAATACCAGGCCAGCCAGAGAAACAGAGTGAGAAGGCAATGCCAATCAACTGTTTGCAGTCAATGTAAAACACACCAAATGCACTATACTTGAGTAAGACACGGAGTACCTGTTTCTCGTATACTTGTATCTGAACCACATCAAACTGAGACACAACCATGTTCATGACTGTTACCTGGCAACATAATCAGCACTGCTACTGATTCTTACTACACCAAGGGGTTCAATCAGGCTGACAGGAGAGCACAGGCTTAACAATAGCATGCTGACACTCTGGATTTAGTAGCAATTCCATAATTAGCAACGTTTCCTAGATTCCATCAGTTAACAACTATACAGAATGACCTTATTTTCCACATATACTCTCCAATATAAAAGGAGCAATGGCCCAGAAGTTTGACCTTAACAAATGCTATGAATGAAAGCTTCTGATGGGCAATAGTGGAGCACTGGAGGTAGAGGCAGGTGGATCTCTGTGAGTTTGAGGCCAGCCTGGTCTACTGAGTGAGTTCCAGGACAGTCACCAAAGCTACACAGAGAAATCCTGTCTCAACACCCCCCCACATACCCCTTGCAAAAGAATGAAAGCTTTCAGTACTAAAGATACAAATGGGTTATTAATAAAGACATCAGTAGCTAAAACAAGATAGCATTGGCCAAAAAAAAAAGCAAACAAAACCAAAAACCTGATACTAACCTTTCCAAATTTGAGGAACCATTTCTAGCCTATTGGACACATCCAATGCTTGGAGAAGATCTATCAATGCTTGGGAGTGGGGAAAGAACATCTGAGTGAAATAGAAATATGGTTTTAAAGCATCCACCAGGGAAGACACTCACATATCCCTCTACAAAGACAAAAGACAAGTAATGAATCCTCTTACTGAAGGTATTAGGTCCTTGTACCACTTCAAAGTGACATCAATTTGTTCCATTGAACAAATCAAACCGAAAAACTTGGAACTGTGGAGAGAAAAAAGCATGTTTAGATTAAAGTCGCTGTGTGCAACAATAAGGTATGATTACTGAAATTTCAGTATAACTACTCCTGTAGTAAGCATAGATTTTTAATGTTTCTAATTTCAGTTCGGTGAGATGTTGTTCACTGGGCAAAGGTACTCTGTTTGGCGTATAAACCTGGTAACATGAGTTCCATCCCTGGAACACATGTAAAGGCAGGACAGAACTTATCCACAGAGTTGTCCTTTGACCCCCACACTCATGCTGTGGCATATACACACAATAACAAGAACTATTACAACAACAAGTTGCAAGGGTCAGTATTTGACCAAGGAAAGTGCTAGGTGTAACTAATTTCCCACTTGAGCTATTTTGGCCCTCAGCTGGACCATTTGGACTGCCTGCTCAGTACACTTAGGTAAGTAAACTGATAGATCCTAGAAAGCAATTACCTCAAATTAATATTTGTATTAAATGTACTCAGTGGAGGAACAATGAACTGGACACATAGACATAACTCTGACACTTAAAGACATAAATGTAACAGGGTAAAATCTCTAAACAGATACAACAAAGGAGTCATTTCATCACTGCTTTTCAATGGTTTGTGTGTGTGTGTGTGTGTGTGTGTGTGTGTGTGTGTGTATATGCAAATGTCCTTGCCTGTACAGCTACATGTAGGATGGGGGACATGTTCTGGGTGTCCTCAACTGTTTCCCCATCCCACTGGACCTGGCCACTCATGTGGCCATTCAGGTCATCTAGCTATCGGCATCTGCTTATTTCTACTTCTTACTCCAGTTAGGGGTTGTAGATACAAACCACCAGTGAGTGCTGGGTGGAACCTAAAGCAAGAACCCCATTCTTGCATAGCAAGTACTTTACCCATGGAGCCACCTCCTAAGTCCCACTGCTTTTGTAACTCAATTACTATGAATTAATTAGCTTATGACCTGAAACTAGAGTTGATATAAACAGTCAACAAGATCCTCCTATTGCAGAATCCAGTAATTAAAATGAGAGAGCTAGAGACAAAGCTGAAAAATTTAGAGCCCTTGGTCCAAAATCAAGAGGCTCAGAGTTTAGATCCCAGAAACCATGTAACATACCAGGCATTCCTAGCAAATGCCTGTAACCAACTTTAAGGCAGGGCAGAGACGGAAGGCTTAATGGACTTCCAGACTAGCTAAGGCACGGACCCAGGTTCAGGAAGAGACTCTACCTCAAAGAAGAAAGGATGATAGAAGAAAACTGCTGGTACCCTCTTGTTTCCCATGCAGTCACAGGTGCGTGTACACACACGCATGCACGCACACAAAATTTTAAAAACATAAAGTAACATACTTACTAATAAAAATTACGTTGAAGATCACCTCCAATCAGTTTCCGGTTGTCTCCCGTGTTTAAAAGACGATGAATTTGGTAAGCAAGCCCTAAATCTCTGAGAGATGAACACTGAAAATTTGCAAATATTATTACCCAGACATTCTTTTTTTTTTTTTCCTCCCCGAGACAGGGTTTCTCTGTATTATTTTGGAGACTGTCCTGTAACTTGTTCTGTAGACCAGGCTGACCTCTGTCTCCTGAGTGCTGGGATTAAAGGCATGCGCTACCAACACCCACCTTACCCAGACATTCTTGTAAGCCCAACAGAGACTCAATACATATTGAAAAAGTATATGGGCAGTGATGACCCATGGCTTTAATCCCAGCACTTGGGAGGCAGAGGCAGGTGAATCTCTGAATTTGAGGCCAGCCTACTCTACAAAGTGAGTTCTAAGATAGCCAGGACAGTTACACAGAGTAATCCTGTCTTTAAGAAAAAAAAAAAAAAAAAAAAAGTACCAATTGCTTTGTATAAATACTTAACTAATAATATTCAATTTATTGATTGACAGCAAAAAAGTCACAAGAAATTAGGGGGAAAATAAACCCTAATTTATAAAATTTAAAACAAACTTTTGAGTTAGCAATATCACTTTACCATCAAAATCACCATTAAATAGCTTCAAGAACCAGCCCTATGAATTCTCAGAGGAAACCCCAGAGGATAGATACTAGGCTGCCACATAATTCTCAATAAACAGGATGCTCTCTGCTCATCCTGAAAACTTGAATTTTTTTTCCTATAATGATAAAAAGAAAATCGACATAATAATTTTTCCTATTATCTTAACAAAGAAATGAGCGAGAACATTCTGAAAGCTTATCAAAACAGCATGGAAAGGGACTGCACAATAAAGACTAGAGGTAGGATATGACTTTAAAAGTACAGATTGTACAAAAGAAGGAAAGTAGAAGCAAAGACACGAAGGAAAGAGTTAATAGTGAAAGGACATGCAGAAGCATCCAAAGCACCCACTTACAGATAAATGAAAACACAGAGAAGAACCTTTAGAGCAGGGATAATTAAGGAAATAACACTTACCACATTCATGGCCAACGCAAAAAATTTATCTGAAAAGCAAAGTTCACAAATTTGGTTGCTATGGATATATTATTTTCATAACAATAACATCAACATGCCACAGACATCTTGGCTTTCTCAGAATATTCAATCCAAATAAACATTGCCCTCAACACAAGGCCTCTAATGTCACTCAAGCAAGCCACCCGTCATTAGCTGGAATACCATAAGTAATCTCTGTACCTACCATCATCCAGGTCCCGTGGAGAGAATTTCCTTCCCTCTAACTCATTCATGATGTCATAGATGATGAGGGATGGTGCTTTCATAGAACTGCCTGCAGAAAAGCAAGGCAAATACGTGTTTACCAAGAGTCCACTTCCATAAGTAGAACCAACTTCACAGCCCCAGTTATGAAGACCTCCCTCCTATCTGCTGCCTCCATCCTTAGCTTAAGCCCTAGCAGAGAGCTGGGCAGGACCAAAAACCCACTAAAGAAACCTCTATAGCCCAGAGCCCACATCTTTGTAAAATCTGTAAGCAGTATTGTGCTATGTCTTTACGGTCCAGTTAGTTAGACATCACCTTTATTCATTTCTTCCTAAGAAGCTAAAATTTCTTGTGAGTGGAACAAATACCAGCAGCCCCTCATCCCAAACCAACACACTTAATCAAATTATTTGGTGGTTCCTGTGCTCTTTTAAAGTAAAACCAGGTGAAGAAAGCCAAGGAAAAAAGGCAACTGCAGAATAGATTAGCGAATGTGGCAGCTCTTAGAAGTCACACCAGCCAGCCATGGCCAAACGTGCTCATTCATCCCAACACTAAAGTGGAAAGGTCATCAAACAGGTTTACCTAAACTACACAGCAAGTTCAAGACATTCTATGCCACATGGCAAAATAACTGGGGTTTGAAAAGGTGAACTGGACACTGATAGGGCAAAAACTGTACCTGGCAAGAGGGAAGTCCAGGTCAATATAACTCAACAGGTGGTGCTAGTGCGAACTTGGAAAGCATGACACCAGGCAGTTAATTTTAGGCATATTTAAGCACAGCACAATGTGGAAAAAGTTTCCTGGCGATAATTATAATTAACTCTATCCTATGTGTTCAACAAAGTTTAAGACACGGCTATATAAAAACTACTGTAAAATACAAGTGATACTGGGAATCTTCCATAATGATAGGTTCTACAGATTAACTAAGACCCCAGACTCAAAGTAAACAAAACACGTGGTAAGGGTCTGGGGAGCCATTATGCCCTGACCATGCAGGTGGTCACCAATCATACAGAGGTCACCAGGCTACTAATAGGCACATCTGTTCCCAGCCTTTTGGATTTCCTTCCAAAAGGAACCTATCCTATAGGTTCTATACCTCTCCATTTGAAGGGACAACCCAGTATATTTAAAATTCCTGGTTTCCCTAGTTCTCATCTGTGAACACTAAGCACTACATCCTTTCCACACTGCATCAACACAAAAACACACATGTAGCTAGCAGAACTGAATAGAGGACACAGCCATGAAACATACTGTAGAAACATGGAACATACTGGGAAAACTGTATCTTTCTTCTTGAAATTATTTTTACTCATGTATGTCAGTGCTCCTCAATCTTTCTAATGCTGAGACCTTTTAACAGTTTTCATGTAGTGGTAACCCCAACCATAAAATTATTTCCACCGCTATTTCATAACTGTGAGTCTACTATGAATTTATGCTATAAATACCGCATATGCAGGATTATCTGATACGGGACCCACAAAGAGGTGGAAACCCACGGGCTGAGAACCCCTGATGCATGTGAATGTGTACCACAGGTGTAACGGGAGTCCAGAAGAGGGTGCCAGATCTCCAGAAGCTGGAGTTACAGGTGGAGTTTGTGGGTCCTTGAGAAGATCAACAAGTTCTCTTAACCACTTAAGCCAGTTGTTCTCAACCTGTGGGTTGTTGACTGACCCTTTCCCAAGGGTGACATACAGAGATGCTGCACACCAGATATTTACATTTGATTCATAACAGTAGCAAAATTAGTTATGAATTAGCAATGAAAATAATTTTATGGTTCAGGGTCACAATATGAGAAACAGTATTAAAGGGCCACTGCATTTGGAATGTTGAGAATCAACCACTGACTTAAGCCATCTCTGTGGCTTCCAAAATTCTATTTGTATATGTAGAAAAAAAACAATCTCATTGCATACAAACAAAAAAAAATGTAATGGGTCAAAGACTAATGAAGGATCTAACACTGTCTGAAACTGCTAAAGAAAATCCACAGGGCTATCACTCTAAAACCATGGCATAGGCAAGGACTTTCGGAAAAGGACATCAGTAGCCCAGTGTATGTGGCATGTGCTTATTAACACTAAGGTCCAGAGAGAGATCAGGAATTAGAGGTTCACCTGTGAGCTGCTTCTAGGGGTTCTATGGTCTCTTCCTCCCATTTCACCATGGACGTCAGGATTAAATACCCACGACCTAGTCTGGCTTCACACTGGTTCTGGAATCCAATTAAAGCTACCAAGGCTTGCCAGACCTATCCCATGGATCCATTTGCCTTTTTGTAATATGGTCTTTCTTGTGCTATGATAAAAAGCAGTGACAAGAGCAACTTACAGGAAAATGGCTAGTTCGGATGGCCCTTAGGTGAAGTAAAGGGTCTGCTCATTTCTGCTAGGACTACTAGTGTGTATGTGCTACAACACTTGTGTTCTGGAATTAATCTCTACAGTTTTTAGATTGTGTAGGAAGCATTTTACTAACTGACCTATCTTCCTAGGCCCCGTTTGAGCTTTCTCTGAGACTCACATAGCAAGCACATGCTGGCCCAATGGTGACCTTCAACATCTGATCTGCCTACTTTGACTTCTCAAGTTCTGAGATTACAGACAAGGGTCTGGAGTTCTATTTAAGAGAAACGGTTATATCACATTTGCAGGGAAACAACTGGAAATTAGCATATTAAGCAAAGTAAGTCAGACAATTATTATACTCTTCTTCCACAAGGAATCTAGATTGTGCAGATGCCATGTTTATATGACACATGAAAGTGGAGGGGACCACTGTGGGGAAGACGGCCAGGAGTGTAGATGGCAGAGTAAGACTGGTAATGCCTGGGGCGGTAAGACGGCTCAGGGTTACATAAGGGTAATTGCAGCTAACCTGATGATGGAGTTTGATGCTTGAAACCCACAAAGAAAAATAAAGTTGCTGAGCCCTAATGCCACATTTTTTTTTAAAAAATACACTGAAACAACCTGTGTGACTACTAAGCTATTTTACTGAGTGAGTAGCACAGTTCTAAAGACAAAAAGGAACGCTTAACTACCCATCTTGTCTGTTCTTTACAGTCTATAATGTGACTACTATAGCCCTCTCCAGTTTGTATTTTATCACAATCAAGGGCTCTACTCTCAAGATTAATCATTTGCTCAAACTATATATGATAATTTATATACTTTCTTTTCTTTTTTTGAAAATAACTGTCTTGCAGACCTCCAACTTAGAGTTCTGCCTCCTAAGTACTGACATAGGACTACAGGTATCAATGTCATGCAGGGGTATTCTTTTATGTATATGTTTTTTGTTTGTTTATCGAGACAGGTTTCTGTGTAGCCTGGCTGTCCTGGAACTTGCTCTGTGGACCAAGCTGGTCTCAAACTCATAGACCCACTTTGCCTATGCTTCACAAGTGTTGGGATTAAAGGCTTGTGCTACCATGCCAGGCTGTGTACAGATATTTTGTTTGCACATATGCTTATATGGGCCTGGGGCCCTTGGAGGTAACAGAAGCATCAGTCCCTAGAGACTGGAGTTAGAAGTAATTGTGAGCCACCATATGGGTGCTTAGAAGTGAACCTGAGTCATATGAAGAAAAAGTACAGCAACAATTACATAAACTCAACAGAGATGGTCAATTTTATTCAAATTAAAATAATGTAAGGGTATACCTACCTCGATGATAAAAGAGAGAAATAATATGGTGGTATGTTGCAAGCGAGGGTTCTCAAATTACCAGGCAGACAGAGAAAAAAATAAAGTATCAGTTATCTAAAAGCTGAAGCACAATGTTAACATTTAAGCAAAAGACATTTTTAGCTCATATTATAAAAAGGTGAAGTCACCTAACGATATCACTGTGTTACTATCCATAAGTGAGATCATTACTGAGAACAGCAAAGTACCACGATGTCAATCAATGTCCAAGTATTCTTAAATTAAGCAGTTACTGAAGTACACACAATATACAGCAGCAAGCACATAATTTGAGTTACAATATCTCATTATGCTAGAAAAATGTCCTAGAATTTAAAACAAGCCAACAAAGTGTCTTGTTAGCACAGTAGGTAGCACGTCAGTCTCATAAAACAAGCCAACAAAGCAATCAACTCTTTAAACTCCAGAGAACTACAGGAAGTCTTTGAATGTTAAAAAACATTCTGTATCTACTGTAAAGAACACAAAATGATAAAGCATTCCTGTCACAGAAGACAGTTATCACTTGGTATCCAGAACCCCAAGGCCCAGCTACTCAGATGTCACATAAATTTACTTGTATATAACCCACAAATATCCTAACTTACACTTCAAAGCATTTCTAGATCATCAGTAACACCTGATATGCCATAAATGCCATGCAAAAACTTCTTGCACTCTTTAGGAATGACCTAATACAAGTAAATACATACTGACAATTATTTTTACCTGACATTCCTATCTGGGGTTGAATGCAAAGACAGATACAAAGAACCAACTGCATGTGAATTGCACAAGGAAATCCTAACAGTAAAGTAATAGTAAAAATATAGACACTCTGGCTTTTGTGGTTGAGATCAATGGTCAGCTCACCTCATCTTCAGAGGACCAGGATGCACTCTTACCTATTCCAAGGTATTTCATTTCCCGTAATGTCTGTAAAGCTGGCAACCTTCCCAACATATAAAACCTCCGGAGACACTTGAGCACAGCATGAAAGGTTTGCAGGTTTGGTTTGACCTCCTGTGCAACCATATGTTTCAGCAGATCCTGAGTGAATTCAAAACAGAATTTTTTTACTTCAAGGCAATTTGCCAAAATTGCTGAGAAAATTTAATTCTGTGGCTACATATGAAACAAATTAGCACCCATACCCTAATTTAATAACTATCTGCTTTAAAAACTGTACAGCCTGGTTTGGTAGTCCATGTTTAATGGAAGCACTTGAGATTCAGAGGCAAGGGATCTCGGTAGTTGAAAACCAGCCTGGTTTTGTTTTATGAGACTGACATCAAGTTCCAGAGTAAAGGCTGGATAGTGAGACTTTTTCTCAAAAGAAAACCAACAAAACCAAAAGCGGACAAAGAACTGCCTGCCACTGATCCCACCTTCTAGAAAGCCTCCAAACACTGTCATGGGCCAAGGTTACCTCTGTCCCTCCAAACCCTATTATTTACCACAGGGAATCAGGTGTTTATCTGCAGTCTTAAACCAAATTCACACTACAATAGAAGCTCTCATGGTATGTTTTGACAAAATCCAGTGATTTCTATTTAACTACACTGGCTAGAATTCTGTAATAGATATGTACTTTTATAATTAACAATGAAATCAATTACACATAAAGTGCCCCAACTCCTCCTGAATCCTAGCTATGTAGTCATTGATTAATCAGTGTTTTGTTTTTTGCCCCATAATAGAGGCTTCTTAAGCTAGGGCAGGGTATTGAGCAGTTGCCACCACAGAAATGGTAAATTAATATTTCTTAGTCAAAGGTGGCTAGAGGGCAATACAGGTGTTTCCTTACCAGTATATTATTCCATTTTTCTTCAAATTTCTCATTGGCTATGAACATTTTAGCTTCAATCAATGCATTGAAGGTGTATACATCAGCTGTAAAAAAAAAAAAAAAAAAAAAAAATTTTAACAAAACTTGAGGTTGAAAATTTACCGAAAACAGCTGAGGTAAAAAAAAAAAATGGTCATAAAATCTAAGCAACAATCCTCCAAACAACAACTGTGGACCAATGGCTGAGACAACATCCAAAGACCTGATTCTTGTTAGAACAGTGGTTCTAACCCTGGGGGCACACACCAGATATCCTGCCTATCACATATTTACATTATGACTCATAACAGTAGCAAAATTACAGTTAGGAAGCAGCAACAAAATAATTTTATGGTTGGGGTCAGCACGCCATGATGACCTGTACTAACGCTTAACAGCATTGGGAAGGTTGAGAGCCACTGTGTCGGGGAGTCCCCAAACTTACCACGAAGTCTGTTATTTAATAACTCGGTGTACATGTTCAGTGCCTGTGCATAAGCTTGGTGCTAGAGAGGAAAAAGCAATTATCATCAAAGTCTTCACAATTGGGAATGTGAACACATAAAACAGGAGCCTCCAGTTCCAAAGCTTGTGTCCTACTGGCAGTCTCTTCCAGGGGCACTGGCAATGCTTAGAGACATGATCAGTGGTCACAACTGAGGGCGAGGCAGAGCATGTTACTTACAGCTAAGAAGAAATAGGGCGGCGAGAGGGGAGACATCTCACGACAGAGCACTGGGCGTCTCACAGCCCAAAGCAAAGCTTTCCACCCTTTGACTTTCAGGGCGACTGACTCAGCCCTTAAGAGAGCTTGGTGCCCAATCACAAGTGAGTGCAGTGACTGGCTCTACCACCCACCCACCCACACACCCCTTTATACACGTAAGACACAGGCAGATGCATACACACATGAATAAAGAAAAAAATTCACAAAACTTTAACAAAGGTTGTTCATCCCTAGTCCACAATTTGAAATGCCTCACAAAGTCATCAACAGCCTCATTTGACACGTCACAGACAGAGCATAGGCTCACAAAGACACTACATGAAATGATCATGTTAAGTGCTACAGTACATGCCATGCCCATGATCCCAATTACTCTGGAGACTAGAGTGGGAACAACTGTTGAGTCTGAGGCCAGCCTAAGAAAGAAAATAAAAAAAAAATTCCCTAGCTATTGGAAAACCTTTGATGGCAAGGCAGAGGCAGACAAATCGCTGTGAATTTAAGCCTTGTCTGCCTAACAGCCCAGCCAGCCGGGCTTACATATTGAGACCCTGAAGTAGTACTGCTTTCATTATTCATATAAAAGTTGAATGATGCAAATAATAGACATTCTGCTTAGAACTGACACAACCCACAAATATCATATTATTCATCCAACTCAATGGACCTTCAAGATAAAAAAAAAAAAAAAAAAAAAAAAAAGGAAGGTACCTTCACCATCCCTTGGATCATTGTACAGTAGGAATGTGCATTCTTCTCTGCCATCAGAGCAAACACTCTCTCAGCATTGTTTTGTGCTCTAGAAACAGAATAAACATGAACCAGAGGCACTCAGAAAAGTAGTAATAATTGTCATTTTCCACATAACCATTCTACAACCTAGAGAGCTTCATGGGTTTATCATCTCATAAATGGAGGGCCAAAGATCTGAAGCTATCTGGACATCCATAGCTCAGGGTCCCTGGGTTAAGAACAAAATACTCTGCATATACTGAAAAAGAATTCCCCGAGGCAAACATGACTCTACAATGAACAATTTTGTACCTTTACTAGAGGGAAAGAAAGCGACACACCTTATATACATTTTCCTGTATTCCAAATACCCTAATAGTATAGAAAACACACAGAACTAGAATATGAGCATGGCATTTCTACAAGGCCCACGCATGCACTGTCTGTTTCAGTGTGTGCCTACCTCCTGGGTGAGTGGTCACGGAGGTCAGAATTCACAGAGATAGAACTTGAGCCTTCTTAGAGAAAGGACAATGCTCTTAACTAATGAGCCTTCTCTCTTCATCTCAATTTCTGGTATTAACGGTAGTCTTTCTTCTCTACAGATCCACATAGGATATTTATTTTTATCTTATGCAGTCCTTCATTAAAGGTTCAACTATAATGTTATTTACTTTTTTCCAAACTATTTCCAGTAAACAGAAGTACATGAACTTTCAGAATTACTTATCTAGATGTCAGGGTAGCACTACTGATGGAAATAAAACAGGAAAAACAAAAAGAAGAATAAAGGCAAACCCTAAATAGAGTGGCAGGAGTTAACACTCATACAAAAAGCAGTCTAAGCCCGAAGTGATGTTGTACACTTGTAATGCCAGGCCCTGGGAGCAGAGGCAGGCATGGTGTGTGTGTGGGGCTAGCCTGGACGAGGTGGGCTAGCCTGGACGAGGCGGGGCCTCGGCTGTAACAGTAACTAACACACCAGCTATAGTCGCACACGCTTTTCATCCTAGCACTCAAGAGACATAAAGATCTCTGAGAGTTCAAGTTTAACCTGTTCTACATAGTGAGCGTCAGCCAAAACCTACAGAGAAACCTGGTCTCACATACACACAGACAAGACAAGAGGTCTGAAATATAAAGGCAGAGTGTAGAACACAACTATAAAATGAAGGGGAAAAAATTAAAATGTTTTAGAAGACTTCAGAATTGCAACTCCAGAGGACAATGTAAAGTATTTTTCATGTAAAATCCCCATAATACAAAGTTTTCACATGCAACATACTTCCAAGCAATAGTCTTCATCTTGGAGGTTTGATTATTTGTCTCTGTGGCCTCTTCCTAGAATACATGAAATAAAAGGTAAGACAATATTTGATAGCAGACTAATTAAAAATCAGAAAAGCAAAGGAAATTCAGAAAACTAAAAGAAATAACTGATCTGCAAAAGGCAAAGAGAAACTCAATAGAAAGTTCACACCCACAGTGAATTCCTTCAGTGTGAAAACAGCGAACACAAAAGAAGTCAGCTCTTAAACAAGAGGTCATCTGGTGATAGGACAAAGGCAGTGCCCTATGTGTTCTGCCTAAAAGCAGAGAGCAAAACCAACGTGCAATCTGCTTCTACAGGGGACACAACTGGCTTGACTCAGAAAAATACTGCACACATGGTGTGAAAGCAAGAGGTATGGACATTGATGTTTAATACTAGCTAAAGGACCTTTGAAAGACTAAATCCTGTCCTTATTTATAAATGAAGCATCTGGCATGAGGCAGAGAGAGGCCTGACTAGCATTTGCAGAAGCCAGGGTTAGTTCTGTAGGCAGCCAGCTGTTTTAGAAGGCTGGTAACAAGGGACCAGCCTGGCAGGGTTCAAAAGACTGTCTGCAAGGTCACAGGCACGACTTACCCACTGCTGGAGTGCTTAAAACACTAGTTACTATGTAGGTGAGTAACCCACAATTAGTAGACAAAGAACAGGAACACCCCAGAATATCATTACTTAGAAACACTTAAAATATTTGCATTGTAAGCTGAGTAGTAGTCACACACGCCTTTAATCCCAGCACTCAAGAGGCAGAGACAGGAGGATCTATGTCAGTTCTAGGCTAGCCTGGTCTACAGGCTCTAAAGCTACAGAGAAACCCTCTGTCAAAACCCAAATTTTCATTCTCTGCAAATAAAAAAAACTATAAAAATAACAAAGATTGACATTCTTCTCTTCCTTCTGGGAAAGTGAGAGGGAGGGAACACAGTCTGAGTGGATTAAAAAAAAAAAAAAAAAAAAACAAAGATTGAATCCCTCATCCAAAAAAGGATGGGATTTAAACATAAAATCCATCCTCCAAATATATACAACATGAAGGAGTTTTGAAAGAATGAAGTCATATAAGGACAGGTGTGGCAGTTCCCATTTAATAGATGCAGTTCAGATTTTTGGAGCAGTGCAGTTATAAAAATTGGATTGCAGATATAGATGCTCAGTAACCTCTTACTTCATCCCATTCAGGGCTCTAATAACAACTACTCAACCATCATCGCCTGCCATTGGCTTTCTACACTGTTTTTAGGACCATTGCAAGTACAGGCATAAATCCATACTGTTTCAGAAAACATTCCATACATACCTCTACATACCAGATATAAAGGATCCCTTGCAATCTATTTCTAGAAATAAAACCCTCCAACTTTTGACAGCTACTACTCCACCTACAGGCAACACTCGGCATAAGTGCAAGATGCTCCCTCTTGTCTGCCCACATCTGTATGAATTTTAAAAAGGCACCGAGTGTCCAGTGTGGACCTGCAAATGCTGCTATACATAGCACACATGTGTGATCACAGAACAAATCTGAGGAGCTGGTTCTGTCGTCCCACCTTTACATGGCCCCCGGGTATCAAACTTGGGCTCTTAGGCCTATATCGTAAGTAAGTGCCCTTACATGCTGAACTATCTCACTGGCCACGTATGTACAACTTTTGAGCAAAGGGTGACCAGTGACGATATACGGAGCCTTTCCTTGATGATTACACAACATGCTGTCACCATAGTGACAGAGGGCTGGCTCAAACAATTCTGGTCAAACATCTGCTGAGTATGTGGTACATGAAGACAAAATATTGCTAAGTAGAATATAGTTAAAATAATTGTTCCATTAAAAAAACACACAAATTAAAGCTATACTGAGATCCCACTCACTCTAGTCACAAACACTGGCGAGGCTGCAGGATAAAAGGAACCCTTAAACACTCACTGCTGACAGAAACGTAAAACTACTGGGACACAAGCGTCATCAATAAGCCCAATAGATTTGATGTTCTGAGATGGGTTTCACCATGTAGCTCTGCCTAGCCTGGACCTCACTCACCATGTAGACCAGGCTGGTTTAACTCAGAGATCCACCTGCCTCTGCCTCTATGCTGGAATTGGAACCCAGGAAGCTGAGGCATGCAAAACAAATTTAAGGGCAGTGCAAGCACTTTAGCAAGATCCTTATTGTAACAAACAAGAAACAAAGCGGGCGTGACACTGAAGTAGCATTCCAGGGTCCAGTGTTGTCTAGCATGTGCAGCGCCCTAGGTTCACCGCCTCAAAAAATGTGTGGCCATAAATACACTGAAGTTTTAGTCAGTCATAAAGACCAATTGTGTCATTTGTAGGAACATGGACAGAACCAGAGATTCCATTCAGATTCAGAAAAGCAGATATTGCTTGTTTTTATCCCATATGATCAAAGTAGAAGAGGGACTATTTGGGAAGATGAAACAGACCACTGGAAAAAGGTAAAAGAGGGTTAGGGGGAGGGAGTATTATTAAAATGCATTTCATACATGAAGGAAAATGTCATAATAAAACACATCATTTTGTATAATATGCACTGATTACAACTGAATAAAAAAAAAATGTTCATTTCCCATGTCATCTTTCATCATTGCTGGGTGAAGGCTACTGTACCACCTCAGTATGGACCCCTTACTGTGACATGTGGTACAGAACCCTGGCCTTTTTGAGAAAATATTTTAGAAACAAAGAAACCAAGTTTTTTCTTTTCTTTTTACCAAGTTTTCTGCATGTTCAGTTTGTTGAAAAGCACAGTCAGCTGGGGGCTCTTGGTCACCATAGTAACACAATAAATCCAAGAGACTATTAGTTGTTTCAAGAGAGACTGTAGTTCCTGTGTTAGGAGGAAAAAAAAAAGAAAGAAAGAAAGAAAGAAACCTTCAAACATCCAAGAACCAAAGCCTGTTAGATGAAATTCTTCACTTTCTCTATTAAAGGTGGCTTATCTGGCTACATCCTTAATCTATGCTGCCATTTTACCAATTAACAAATATAACCAATGGCGATTTTATGCTGTCACACTTTCCCCCTGTGAACTGTATCTAACATGCTGTATTTCTTAATACATTTGTTTGGCACAATTCACAGTTTGTGTGAGTCCTTTTGACTCCTGCTTTCCTATCTTCTTTGTTTTCTTGGTCTTTCCTCTCTGGAACATTGTCACTGAAGAACCACCTGCTAGTCCAGATCATTTTCCACTTAACTCTGTTAGACCAGACCCATTTAATAAACACAAATAATCATCTCAAATGGACTCAGGCACTCACTGAAATTCACTAGATAGGAGTCTAGATTCCTAAAATTTAATGGTAACAGCTGACTTTAAAGATGATAGTAAAATAACCATCCTGTAACTCCAGTTAATGAGGATCTGATGCTTTCTTCTGGTCTCCTCAGGCACCAGGCACACACATAATACACAGATACTCATGCAAACAAAACACACACAAAAATAAAGTATTTGTTTTCTTTTTGTTTTTTCAAGACAGGGTTTTGCTGTGTAGCCCTGACTGTACTGAACTCTTTGTAGACCAGGCTGGCCTTGAACTCAGAGATCTGCCAGCTTTTGCCTTCCAAGTAAGGGGAATTAAAGGTGTGCACCACCACCATCCATTGTATTTCTTTTTTATTTGGCCTAGCTTTCTCACACCTTCTGTTAAAAAGGGGGCTTACTTTCTTCACCAGTGCAATGAACAAAAGCAAATAAACAAATGAAACAAAGTAACAATACTGGTCAGTTTTACTCAAATCTATTCTGATCATATCAAATGGCCCCATGTTTCAAGAGGGGCTCTGACTAAGAGGAGTTACCTGCTTGTAAGAGCTGATCAAAGAGGTCCACAGACGCCTTGACTTTCCTGAGTCTGATTCGTTCCTTCAGGGCAGCTTCACTAACCTCTTCAATTTGAGGTTCAAGGGACTCAGGCATTAAGCACTGGAAAATAAGATAAATAAGTAACGACAAACAGGCAAAGAAAATAGGGTAACAGTAGGATGAGGCTATTAGCACCACCACACCAAAGTAAATTCACCGCTCCAGTTCCTGTTTCCTACATACCACTTACATCTGGACATAAAAATAAAATACACAGGTAAGAACAAGGGGCAGGGCAGGTGGTGGCGCACACCTTTATCCCCAGCACTATGGAGGCAGAAGCAGGCAGAGCTCTGTGCTCTGTGAATTTGAGGCCAGCCTGGTCTACAGAGCAAGTTCCAGGACATCCAAGGCTACATAGAGAAATCCTGTCTCAAAAAACAAAAATCAAAACAAACAAGCAAATAAGTGAATGAAGGAACAAACAGGAAAGGCCAATAAACTCCCACTTGTACAGAGAAGGCTGATGGGCCATTTCCTGACTTGATGAAAATTTTAAAACATTCAATCACAAATATTCAATCCATACTTGAAGACCCCATTTCCAACCTAAGGTCAACCGTATTTGAGCTGAATACTTTTTCCAGTAAACAGCCTGCTTCCCAAACAAAACAAAAAAAGCTAGGCATGGTGGAGCACATCTTTAATCCCAGGACCCTGCAGGTAGAGGGAGGTGGATTTCTTTTGAGTTCCAGGCCAGGCAGGGTACTTGGTGGGATCCTAAATACAAGCCAAGACAAAATCCAACTACAACACCCCCTCCTCATCTTAGGGTTTCTATTGCTGAGACAAACACCGTGCTCATAAAACACGATGGAAAAGAAAGGGTTCACTGAAGGAAGTGAGGATAGGAACTCAAACAAGACAGTATCCCAGAAGCAGTAGCTAATGCAGACGGAGGGCTACTGCTTACTGGTTTGCCTCACATGGCTTGAGAAAATGCCATTCATCTCATGGAGGCATTTTCTCAACTGAGGCTCTTTCCTCTCTGGCTCTAGCTTGTATGTAGCTGATACAAAAATCCGGCCCCCAAATCAAACCTTGTCTTCCTCCTTTACTGCCCATGTTGGTAGACGTCACCAGAGCACATGAGTTTCTAAAAGCCAAAACCCTTTCTTGGAATTTGCTTTTCCTTTGAACACCCAATACCACCAAGGCATCGTGATTTTACCTCAGTCACTACTTTATCAAATCTATTTGTAGTGGGTACCACTTACCAGATACTAAGCTAGGCACTAGGAATTCTGATATTTTATTAAAGGGGGATTACCTTTCATCAAAGTACTTCTAATGACGAAAGATTAAGACATTAGAGTCAGCAGTGGTAATTATGCTGTCATCTTGACAGAATCAAGAACCTTCTAGGCCAGGTTAACTGAGGGGGGGAAACCCATTCTAAATGTGAGCAGCGCCATCCATACAAGCTCTGGACGGTATACACAAACAAAGCCAGCTAACACTGGGAGGCGTGGCTTCTGCTCCCTGGCTGCAGCAGGGTGGCCACACCCACTATTCCTGCTGCCATCCATGCTCCCCACCACGTGAGCCTTACTTCCTTCAACTGTGTCCTTTATTAAATAAACAGCTTCTTGTCAGGGATTCTGTCACAGTAGGAAAAGCAACCCATATAGGGCAGAGAGCTTACAGAAGGCCCTGCACCACACACACACACACACACACACACACACACACACACACACACACACACACACCAGAAACAAACCAACCAAACAACAACAAACAGATAGAGACAGAGTCCATTATAGTACAATGTGCTGCGGCACTGTCTCCAAGGTTGGAGACCCCTGCAAGGCTTCCAGCAACTGTGACCCCAAAGCCAAGCACAAAAGCACTGTCAGGCAAAACTTTCGAGAAGAGTTTGGGCCAACAGCTGACCAGCCCACAGCTGCCACTGTTCTGAGACAGGGTTTTAATTTTCACCATGTAACTGCTGCCTTACTGTCAGTCACCAGAAGCTGCAGTCTGAGAGGAGGGTGTGAGTTTGGGGAACAAAGGGGAGGGAGTAGCTGTAAGCAAGGGCTGCTGTGAGGTAGTACTTCCTCTCAGGAGGAAGAGCTGCACGTGTTCTGCTCAGCAGACATTGCACAAACAGCGCACACCACAGAACAAAGGGGAGTCAGAAGTACAGCCTCAGGCCCAGAAGAGGGACACGGTCATGACACACAACTGTCAGTGCAGTGCGAGGGTGACCAAAACAGCCAAGTGCAAACTGAAAACAGAGACGGGGCATGGAGACTTCCTAAAGACATCGATAAGGAAATGCAGCAAGCATCTAAAGGACCACGAGAAGGAACAGTCAGAGGAGAACTAGGAATCACACACAAGAACTGTCAGCTATGCAAGTGTGATTTAATCTGCATTCACATTATTATGGAAAAGACACAATCATCTCTCCTTACCGGTATATGAGGCTCAGCCACATCCTTTTGGAAATATTTGGGATGTGAATTAACAATAAATTTTGCTGCATTTTCCCCGGATTTCTTTGCCAATAAAAATGAACGCTATATGGGGGGGAGAGGGAGAATTTAAATACAAATTAGCATGTACATATAATTTAGACTTAAGCAAAACTACATTCTCAGGAAAATACCCCCTCCAAAGAATGCAGTCCCAATTACAAACCAAGTTAAAGTACTTCACATGTCTCACTTCTGAATATGACATTAGTTTCTGGTGAAGTTTTATATACAGAGCAACACACAGGCAGACAGACAGACAGACACACACAGCTTGCTTATGTGTTAATTAAGACCTTAATTTTAAAAAAGTAAACAAAAAGTTTAAAATCAAAACTTTCTTCAGAGACAATACACAATTTTTTGATGAAAGAGATTCAGAGCCTATCATTTGTCAGCACGTATAAGCTTTCCAAGGTTTGTTTTAACAATTCAACTATTTATATACTCGTACACTCGTCAGTAAGGACCTTAAAAATTACTTGATAGGTTGCATAACATCACTCACAGACTCCACAGCAGAGGTTGGTATGAGGTAAGGATCATCTTGAAAAACATAAGGTACAGCTGTAGGGTCCTGTGGAAAGGCACATCTTTTTAGATTTTCACTGAAACTCTAAGCTTTAGTGATGATCACAAATTCTGTAAACTTTAATTACACATCAAACATACATGCAGGAATAAATATGATCATATGTCTGCATATATAAAAAGAAAAAAAAAAAACATGTCAAAAGACTTTCCCCAAACTATGACAATTTAGAGCAAGTAAGTACAAATCCATCTTACAAGGTGTTCTCTTCTCTTTGTGCTAGGGACTGAACATAGCATTTGAGCACTGTGTTAATCCCTTGCCTTATTTCTTAGGATTTCAGTCAGCTGTTAGTTGGGACTAGCAGTTTTAAATGCTAGCTGAGGACCCCTGGTAACTAATACTTGACGGTTCCCTGGAATAAGATTTCCTCCACAACACAGTCAGTGTGCAACTTCACTTCAAGAGTTCCCACTTACCAGGTAGTGACAGTCACCTTTGATCCCAGCACTCGGGAGGCAGAGGCAGATGGAGTTCAAGGCCAGCCTGGTCTACAGAGCTAGTTCCAAGACAGCCAAATCTACAAAGAAATCCTGTCTCAAAAATACAAATCAAAACAAAACAGAGTTCCTTCTCCAGGAACTAGGGAAAGGCCAAATAGATACAGCACTTCCCCTTCAAGCATGAACCATAGAACTTGTAAATATCGGATGGCTGTGCCAGCCCGCCTATAATTATAGATAGTGCTCAGAACACAGAGACAAGGGATTCTCAGAATACTAGCTAGCTAAGCCAGTCTTTATAAGCCAACAGTTGAGACCTTGCCCCAACTAATCAGGTGGACAGTGACTGAGAAGTGCATTTATCTGTAAATATGCATCTGAAATGTCATACGGAACTGTGCGTGTGCTTTTAGAGACCTAAGAGCTCCAGCCCCTACCCCAGCCTCTGCCTCCCAATGCTAGAATCAAAAGCCTGTACCACCACACCTGACATAAGACCTGTATTTTGACCAGTGTATTAACATCTGTAGGAAAGACCCATGGCTCAGTCAGAACTAAGACATCTCTGCTTGTTTACAAAATCCCTCAGAAACAAGCACCTGCTTCTATTAACATTTGTTTCATGTCATTTTTAGAAACAAGCACATCAAACAGCTTTTCCAGTAATTTAAAAATTATTAGTATGAGCATGACATGGCAGCACATGCCTTTAAAAGTTCTAACATTTGGCTGGAGAGATGGCTCAGCGCTTAAGCATACCAGCTGATCTTCCAGAGGACCCAGGTTCAATCCCCAGCACCCACGTGGCAGTTCACAACTGCCTGTGACTCCAGTTCCAGAGGATCCAACACCCTCACACTAACACACATGCAGGTAAAACATCAATGCACATTAACTTAAAAATAAATAAATAAATAAATAAAAAAAAATCCTAACACTTGGGAAGCAGAGGCAGGAGGATCTCTGTGAGCTCGAGGCCAGCCTGATCTACATAGCAAGTTCCAGGACAGCCAAGACTTCAGAGACCCTGTCTCTAAAAACAATATACAAACAATTATAGTACACTGTAAAAACACTCGGTAGGCATTACATCATAAACCTATTTCCCCATTTCCAAAAGAAGGGATTGGAACAAAGAGCTATGCCATGTCATGTTTACTTACCCTGTTTACTGTGGATGCAAGTGCCTGAAGAACAGCCACTTTATCCCTAGAATAGGAACCAGAGGTCAGCCTCTACCAAGAGTATCCATTCACACTTACAAAGACAACAAGTCATTCTACTCTTATAGGACCTAGGCCTTAAAGACAAGGCCTCACCCAGAGCCAAGACTTACTTCTCAAAACCCCCAGAACAGAATTAGGCACAACCGCAAATCCTTAAATCTCAGGGACAGGAGGCAGAGGCTGGAGGAAGGTTTGAGACCACAATAAACATCCAACCACTAGTTCAATGAATAGCAAATTAATACTCACCATGTTTTCTTTTTTGGAATGACTATTTCTTCAATCCCTTACAAGATATAAATAAAAATAATCAGTTTCCTAATAATACAATGAATGCATGGGTTTTTTTGTTTGTTTGTTTGTTTCTGTTTTTAATAAAGAACTATTTTCATAGTTTTAAAAATACCTGTTACATTTGTTCCTTCAACTTTTTGGAGAGATGCACTTCCAGGATAAAATCTGCATTAAAATAAAAAGAGCAAAAGCCTGCTCATTAATGAAGTTCTTGGCTCATCTCCACCCACATACATACATTTGAGCTACATTTTCTAGTTGTCATGGATCAAACAGTCTAGATTGCATATCTCACATCACAATCAAAACATCAAGTTCAATGCAAGAAACAACAGACTGTCAAGACTGATTAAGTCATTTATTTGTGATGTTAGGAATCAAACCAGAGCCTCATTTATGCTGTCAAGTCTAATCTATAGTCTCACTCAAGACTTTTAAAGCATGTAATCTCATCACAAAATAATCAAGATTAAAACTGGAAAATATAATGGCACTGGAACAATCTGAATAGCTGGTTTGAAATATATAGAAACTGGGGCTGGAGAGATGGCTCAGAGGTTAAGAGCACTGGCTGCTCTTCCACAGGTCCTGAGTTCAATTCCCAGCAACCACATGGTGGCTTACAACCATCCATCTGTAATAAGACCTGGTATCCTCTTCTGGCATGCAGATAGAACACTGTATACATAATAAATAAGTAAATCTTAAAAAAAAAGTAAATATATAGAAATTAATCTGAAAAACATAAGACAAGGAACAATTCAGTAAGGTGTTGCTTTTAATAGACAGAATCCAGATAGCAAGCAAATGCCTACTCCAAAGCAATTGAAGCAAAGCTAAGATCACCCATGACCTTATAATTCACCTTTTTTAATAACCAAAAAATATACCAACAACACAAGGCTTTTAACTACTATATTCTCAGAAGCTCCCTTTTTTTTTTTTTTAAAGCCAATATAGAAATATTTGCCCATTGCCAGCTTGGTTTATAGAGTTCCAGGACAGTAAGGGCTTATCTTATTCATGGATAGCAACACATTTATTGGTATCCTAAACTAAAACCAACAAAGATAATGAACAGTTAATGCTACTTTGTATCCTCCATTCTTAAAGGGCACCAGAATTACTCAGAAAGTTTACATGTGATCACAGAGGAAACTATGCCATCCACTGGTATCTGGTCTAAGGTATCATTTTGCCTAAGCTTTTATTATTTTTGTGTCACTGTATATACCCAGGCAAGCATAGCCACCAACCGTCTGTTGGTGGTTGGTTGGAGTTGGTTCTCTACTTCCAACTTTATATCATCATGGAGGCTTTGTGTAACAAGCAATCTGTAGCCACTGGGCCATCTCCCTGTCCTTCAGGCAACATTTTAAAGCAAAAGCTCTCTATGACAGGGGCATTTTAGAAGTGGATCAACTCTTCCAAGCTATGGTTATCAAGTGACATCAGGAAGAGATCATCTTATGTTGAGACAAAGAAGTAGCCCCAGGCAAAGAAAACAGGTAGAAACGGAGGGCTGGGACCTGACAGGCAAAATGGTTTCTACAAAGTTAGTTGTTGCTCTCTTTTAGAAGAATTGAGATAAAGTAGGTACAAGCTATACACTGTAAATTACATCTCATTCATTGCCTATAGTTCTTTCAGACAGTTATGACTAGTTAGAATGCATGTTAGAGAAGTTGTCTACTATCATCCAACTGAAGAAAAGGCAAATGCCGAATAAAAAACTTTTTCTTGGGTTGCTTATTTTAACTCAGTAGTAGAGTGGGGTAGTTAGGACGCATGAAGCCTCAGAATCAATACACACACACACACACACACACACACACACACAAAACAGCAAAATAGGGTTTCAAGTGTTGACTACACCTAACTGCCCCACACTTCCGCAAGGCCACCGTTTTTAGGGTGTAAAATTAAATTACATAAATATCTGCAACACTGTCCCAAGTTGTAACTACCACTAGCTCAAATGAGTAGGATCAGGCGTTTCAAGGCGTTTCTGCCTTCACTAAACCCTAGTTTTCTCACCTCAAAGTTCTCACAACATTCGGTCCGCCGTGGCGATGACAGCCTACCCTTTATTTGGGCGTACATCTATTACTTCGCCCTTTCCTCTTGGCAGAGTTAAAATGAATATGGTAGGCGGCTTAAAGAAGCACGCGCGGGAAGGTACACCTCACAAAAAAAACAGGACCCTATTTTAGAGGGTAATTCCAACGTTATAGAGCATTACAACCAACCAATAAAGAAGTCTGCCGAAAGGATGCACGCTGTTGGAAGCTCATCGCGCACCACTGCTGCCTCGTGCCACCCTTGCGGGCTCGCGGCCTCCGGCGTGCAGACACCATTGCACGGCATGCAGTTCCACGACTCCTAAGGGAACTAAGATGAAGCTGACCCCGGGTCGTCTTACCTGCAGCAGAGCTTCGCTTCACACACACCGGCCCCACGAGCGGCCCGCAGGAGGGCAGGCCCACCGCGGAGACGCAGGCAGCGCGCAGACACAGACGCCGCCATCTTCGGACGATTCGCAGTGCACGTTGGGAACGCCCTTCGCCTACAAGATCAAGAGGGGCGGGGCGGGCGCGGAACATCTCAGCTGGAGAGGGGGGGTTATAAACCCATGCCTGGCGAGGATGCCAGCGGAAGGCTCAGCACACGTCAGTCATCTTCTCGAGTAAATCTGCTTGAAAAGAGTACTTCTAATGTCGCTATGGTAGTTCCGGTTTTAAACGGAAAGAGGGTCCTGAGACTATTTCCTTCTCCTCCCGCCCCTGCCAGACGGCAAAAGTGAGCTCGTCCAAGTCGATGCGCCAGGCGGTGCTCCCCGCACGCACGCGCGGTGGGAAACACATGGTGGCTGCGCGCAGCAGCACTTGAGTGGATTTCGCCGGAGCTGACGGGACCTTCTCTCTGGGTGACGGATCTCAACACTGACTCGAAAGATGCTGGCCTCCAAGCACACGCCATGGAGGCGACTTCAGGGCATTTCCTTCGGGATGTATTCGGCTGAGGAGCTCAAGTAAGGAGTCGGCGGGATGCGCGTAGAGCGTGGTTGTGGCACCGGGCGCCGGGAACTACGGTTCCCAGAAGGCCTCGCGCCGACCCTGTCCGGGCGTCCGGCTGCCTGGCTCCTATTTGCCGGTACTAGGAAGGAATGCGCTGGGCCTCGGGGTGCCCTGCCTTGCTACGTCTATCCGTTCATCTTCCTCGTTAACGCACCAGTTTTATGCTCTCATGCCCGCCACGCGCGTATTAACTACCTGATTGCTGTCCTTTCGTCCAAGCAACGATGAACCTTTAAGTCTCAAATTGAGGCCTTGTTCTACTTTGTGAAGTCGCGGGAACTCTTCTTTAACCCTGTTTTGATCACGATAACATAGGTGCATCTCAAACTTGCATTAAAAACGCAACATGCACCCTCACTTCCACAAACTGAAAGGAACTATCATTCCAAAGCGACGAGCCAGGTTTAATACAAAATGAAATAATTCTAGACACCACTCTTAGATCTTATTTGTTAGACTTTTGCTACGTGTCTAACTTGATTTTACTCTCCTTTTCTCTATTGTGACTGCCTTAGGTCAGGTCTTTTGTCATGCTCAGATTGTCTAACCTTCATACATATCTAGTCAATCCTCCACACAGCTGTCAGAGTTGTCCTACAGTGTAAATTGTAGTCATACTAATATCATCCGTAAAACCTCCCTAGGAGTTTGCTCTTGGAAAAAAAACCTACAACAGTGGTTCTCAACCTTCATAATACTGCAACCCTTCAATACTTTTTTCTTCATAAAAAAATCACTTCATTGTTACTTCATATATGTAATTTTGCTACTGTTATGAATGGTAATGTAGATATCTGATCTGCAGGATATCTCCTGAGAACTGATGGTCTACAAGGATGCCCTTGCTGAGGCCAGTGACATTTGGCTCTGGTATTAAATAATTAATGTCCCCATTTACTGTTAGGAGCTGGTAGCTTTCTGTCTCCTTCAGAGTAAATGCCATGCCCTTAATATCATGGAACAGCCATTCTGGTCCTGAACTTGCTTTTACTCCACTCACCTTGATCACCTTGCTGTCCTCAACACTGAAGGCAGTATAGGACTTGAATATACACAGTGCCATAAAATACTTACAAATGGACAAAAAAAACCAAAACCAAAAACAAACAAACAAAAAAACCACATGGAAATATGCCCAGCATCCTAAAATCAACGCAGATCAGAACCATAGTGAGATGCCACCTCAACATATCATGGAAATAATGCCCAGCATCCTAAAATCAACGCAGATCAGAACCATAGTGAGATGCCACCTCAACATATCATGTATTATCAAAAAAACAAACACACACAAACCTAGAAAATAACAAGAGTTGATGAGGATGGTGCTGACATTTAAAAAAAACATCAAGTTAATAATGGCATTATTGTCTGACCTAGGAATTCTCCTGGGCACGTACACACCATCATAGCAGCTTTATTCACTATTGCCAAAAAGTGGAAAGAGCCCATATATTGTCCATCAGTGGATGAGTTGATGAATTGGCATATATACACAGCATGTATATACTCGACCCTAAAAAGGAAAGGCATATTTTATCTATAACTTTAAGGGTAGTGTGCTTAATAAAACAAGCCAGTCAGAAAGCCAGGTAGTGACTGTTCAATTTATTTAAGCAGGAGCTGGGACAGTCAGGTTAATGCGGATGGAAAGTGGAGGAAAGGTGACTGCCAGGGGGCAGGGAAAGAGGGATGATTTTATATATAGTGGGGTTTGCGTTTTACAAGATGAAGGCTTCTAGGGGTGGGCGGTGCCGGTGATGGCCCAGTGTGGCGAACTTAATACCGCTGAACTGCTCTTCTAAAAATGGTTTACAGGGGATGTTTTATGTATATTTTGTTGCAGTTTTAAAAATTAGGATTGAAAAACAAAACAGCTAAGTAATTTGTATCCTTCTTAAATGTTATGTAAATGTACTTTACAAAGCTTACTTTGCCTTTTAAATCTCATCTAATTTAGAAAATGGGGAGCCAGACTGACAAGGCTTTCATTGTTGTGTGAACACACAAATAGAGTTGAGTAGACTACACAGGGCTGTATAACACTTACTGTCAATATGTGGCATAATAACACACTGTTAATGGGTACAAGACTAGTTACTTGACAGATTCCATTACACAAGCTGATGAAACCTTGCATAAGGAAGTTGTTTATGATTTTAATTTTCTTGTATTTGTTACTCTGTATCCAGGAGTTCTTAAATGGCAATCCCCTCATTGAACCATTTGGACTCTCTAGTCAAGTCTGGTTTATAACCTGCCTCTCTCACCTCGGCATTGGAGAAGTTAATAACCTGAGCTTTCCCTGAATCTTTTTTTTAATCTCAGGAAATTAAGTGTAAAATCCATTACAAACCCTCGCTATGTGGACAGCCTGGGAAACCCTTCAGCAAATGGCCTGTATGACTTGGCTTTGGGTCCTGCAGATTCCAAAGAAGTGTGCTCCACCTGTGTGCAGGACTTCAGCAGCTGCTCGGGACACCTGGGCCACATTGAGCTCCCGCTCACAGTGTACAACCCTCTCCTCTTCGATGTATGTGCAGCCCTGGTCGTGTGGGTCTTGGGGTTGCTGGGCTTGTGAGGACCATCTCTTCTTCCTCTTTCTATAGAAAGAAAAACCCTTGACAGACCTAGTACAAGTCACCTTGAGTGCCCATTGCTCAAAATGCTTGAGACCAAAAGTGTCTTGAATTTCAGGTTTTAGAATTTTTACAAGCTACATAATGGTGATATTGTAGGCATGGAACCCAAATATAAACATGAATTCACTCATAGTTTATATATACCTCATATACGAAGCCTGAAGGAGATTATGTGTATTTCTTATGTGCCTGCATTTTTACTAAATAGATGTTGAATTTTTTATTTGTATGTCAGGGCTCAAAAACTTTGGGATTTTAGATTCTCACATTAGGGATGTTTGCCCTATAACTTCAACTTACCCTACAGATTTACCTGGAGAATTCCAGTTGAGAAAAGCCACAGCTAGATTTTGTTCATGTTAGAGAGAAATGTTTAGTGAGCCACCCACCCACCTATCCAAGACTCAAGGTCTAATTCAGATTTAATGCACAGATTTATGCCCTTTTGCTTCAACAGTGTGTGTCCTTCAGAAAGCTGGGTGGCAGTCACCTCCCTACTAATAGAGGGTGCTCCTGAGGTCATTGGCTTTTCGGGTTGCTCTCCTCTTGGCAGGCATAGAGGCAGAAGTAGAATTCTTAAGGAAATACACTATGAGAAGAAAAAAATCTCTTATACAGTGAAAACCACCATGAGTACTGTGTCTCTTTATAATGTCCCATTTCTCTTTGTCCCCACTCTTTAGAAACTCTACCTCCTGCTCCGAGGCTCCTGTTTAAATTGCCACATGCTGACTTGTCCCCGAGCTGCCATTCACCTGTTGGTCTGCCAGCTGAGGGTCCTGGAAGTTGGAGCCCTACAAGCAGTCTATGAACTTGAGCGAATTCTGAGCAGGGTAAGTTGGTAATAGAAACTAGGACATCAAGAGATGCTTGTATGTTGTCCTTAATTACCACCCACAATGGTCTCCAGAATGTCTGAATATTTGTTTATTTATTTTGAGACAGGATTTCTGTGTGTATAGCCCTGACTGTCCTGGAACTCACTCTGTAGAAAAGGCTGGCCTCAAACTCATAGATATCCACCTGCCTCTGCCTCCTGAGTGCCGGGATTAAAGGCTGCACCACACACCACACCACTTGGTACTCCTTGGATCTTATGATGATGCCAGCAGATAGATATTTTCCCCTGGCTCTGTGTGGAGCAGTGGTAGAAGAGGTAGATGGCAATGCACATCTAAACTTTCAGGCACATTATTTCTTGTCCAAGGGTTTCTTGAGGAATTAGCTGGTTGTAAGCTTGGATCAGAAATTACACTAGCCTGTGACATGACATGCCAGAGAGCAAGTTGGTGCTCACAGTCAGTCAAAAGGACACAGCCCATGTGAGGGATTTACAGCGGCCAAATCTGGGACAATCAAAAATTGTGGTAGTAAATTATTATGAGCCATTGAGTGCAATAGGAATCTACAGCATTCATGAGTTCACATGGATGTAAATAGAGAATGATGTGAATGACTAATAATTTAAGTAGTGGGCTGCTGGTACACTATGCAGCACATTGATATTCCTTACACACACTGCTACAGTACATTCTGCCTCACACATAATCATCTTTACTAACCACAGAGACTGAGGAAGACTGTCACTTTCTGTCTGATAGTCAGCCACCCCCCCCCCATTCAAGTAGTCTAAGTGAACAATACCTGACATTAAAAATTTAAATCATGTGCTATGTTCTAAGCTGTGGCAAAAAATGGCACATTGCTTCGGGGTTTTCCAACCACAAGGGCATTGGCTGAATCTTGCTCATGAAGAAACATCAAACATTGCCAAGTTGAATATTTTGTAAAACCCTCAACTTCAGAAATGTGAAGGCC